ACTGGATATTTTACATACAAATGTAAGATTTTATTGGATTCACTATAACTTTATTTTAATGCTCTGAGACTTGTAATTTTCCACATTAGTTAATTCTGAATCAAACACCATCAAAGTTTTTTTTTAAAGAAGTATATGATGGCTAAATGTTATTACATTTTTCTTAGCTGTTGTAATCAAGGAAACCAAGGGACAAAGTGTCTTTGCCATGGGCTTCCTAACACAGAACAAGCTGGACTCTAGTAGGGGAGGCTGCAGAATAAAAAGGGCGCAAGCATGCTCCTTACCTCACCCTATCCTCACCCCAACCTCAGCTTTGCTGCTCAGTGGTGCATAAGGCAGAGGAGGTATTCCTCACCCTCTCAACTACCTGCTCTGCTCCTTACTGCCCCTCAAGCCCCTGCATCACAGCCCCACTCTGCCCAGGCCCTAAAGTCCCTACAAATCACATACAATCCACACATCCAATTCCTCTGAATCATACTCAGATGCACAGCTTAGTTCTGAACTCAGCAAAATTAAGATACTCTACTAGTCTACTGGACACAAGTTTATTTCAAAAGCCGAAAATGCATTATTACCTAAATTAATCTGATGGCAGAGTTAAGGCTATGGTGCTTATTAAGTGAGATTGAGAGGAATCAGATGTGCGTGGCTGTATGGTGGAAATGAAATGGAGTTAGCTGTGGAGGCAGAGTCGGAGCTTGTTTGGATAGCGTGAGCATTGTGCGGCAAAGTGCATGAATCAGGATGGCCTGGATGTTAATGTTGCCTTATCTGGTGATTTTCTTAAGAACATAAGAATGGCCATACAGTGTCAGAAACAAAGGTCTATCTAGACCAGTATCCTGTTTTCTGACAGTGGCAGGTGTCAGATGATTTAGAGAGAACAAACAGAGCAAGGCAATTATTGAGTGATCCATCCCCTGTCCTCTGGACGCAGCTTCGGGCAGTCAGAGTCTTAAGGACAGCATGGGGTTGCGTCCCTGATCATCTTGGCTAATAGCCGTTGATGGACCTATCCTCAATGAACTCACCTAGTTATTTTTTGAACCCAGTTATACTTTTGACCTTCACAACATCCCGTCAACTAGTTCCACAGGTTGACTGTGCATTGTGTGAAGAAATACTTCTTTATGTTTGTTTTAAACCTGTTGCCTATTAATTTTATTGGGTGACCCCTGGTTCTTGTGTTATGTGAAGGGGTAAATAACTCTTCCCTATACCATTCATGATTTTAAAGATCTCTATCATATCTCCCTTCAGTCATCTCTTTTCCAAGCTGAACAGTCCCAGTCTTTTTAATTTCTCCTCATATGGAAGCTATTCCATAGCCTTAATCATTTTTGTTGCCCTTCTCTGTACCTTTTCCAATTTTAATGTATCTTTTTTGAGATGGGATGACCAAAACTACATGCAGTATTCAAGGTGTGGGCATACCATGGATTTATATAGTGACATTATGACATTTTCTGTCTTATCTATTCCCTTCCTAATGGTTACTAATATTGTTAGCTTTTTTGACTGCTGCTGCTGAACATTGATCAGATGTTTTCAGAGAACTATCCACTGTTTCTTGAGTGGTAACAGCTAATTTAGCCACCACTGTTTTGTATAATTGGGATACTTTCCAATGTGCATTACTTTGCATTTATTAACATCTAATTTCATCTGCCATTTTGTTGCCCAGTCATCCAGTTTTGTGAGAGCCCTTTGTAACTTTTTGCAGTCAGCTTTGGATCTGAATGATTTTTTTTTAAATCATCTGCAAACTTTGCCATTTTACCCTTTACCTCTTTTTCCAGATCATTTATGAATATGTCAAATAGCACTGGTCCCAGTACAGGTCCCTGGCGGATCCTGCTATTTACCTCTCTCCACTGTGAAAACAGACCATTTATTCCTACCCTTTGTTTCTTATTTAACTGGTTATTGATCCATGAGAGGACCTTCCCTCTTATCCTATGACTGCCTACTTTGCTTAAGAGTCAGTGAGGGACCTTGTCAAAGACTTTCTGAAAGTTCAAGTACCCACTGGATCACTTAGACCACATAATTGTTGGCCCTTTTCACAGAATTCTAATAGATTGGTGAGGCAGGATTTCTCTTTACAAAAGCCATGTTGACTGTCCCTCAGTTCTTCATTCGATTAGTAGTAGTACTCCATTAGGGCCTACTTTCCTGAAGGAGGCTGGGTCCCCATTGTCCTCGGTACTATAATTACACCCACGATTAAGGTACTTTTTCTCTAAGTTTTATGTGGGTTTAAAAATAAATTTATGCAGCCATACCATAATCTAGACATATCTGAAACAGCTTTACAAACACCGTGCGGATAAAGACCACTGCTCGTTGAAGTAGTAGATCATATTATCTCTGCAAAGAGCTGCATCATGTTACCAATCAAAGTTCAATATTATATATGGTAATAAAGCCCAGGTAAATCCAACTCTGCATGCTCCACTTCATTATTAAAAAGGTACTTGACGTAATTAGTAAACAAAACAAAGCAGACAAGAGAAATTGACCTCAGTGAGGAGGCAAGTAAAGTAGAAGACCAAAACAAAGAGGTTCTGCTAATCCTTTCACAAATGTGCAACCCACTATTATTTCATTAGTTTTTTATACAAGGAAGAATTTTAAATACGGTGCATAGGGTGCTCTCTCTGCTTGAGGCAGGGGACTTCTGGAAAGTTTTCAATCTACTTTTTCTTTTATGCTTGTACTTGCAAATTGAGGATTGGTAGAATCAGGCCTTGAAGCACAGTTCTTGCAGCTAAAGTCCATGGCACCTGAGGAATACGGTGCCCAAGTCTATTTTAAATAGATGCTTGCATTTTACCGGGGGCGGAGGGGTAAAAAGTATCTCCTCCATACATGAGGATCACATATACAAATTACCTATTGGAGTAGTACTGGACATTGTTCTTGAAATTAAAGTTGCTTCCATATATGGCCAGAGGTTCCCCTTTTACCTCCATTTTAACAGTGTAAAAATAAACTATTTTTAAGATCATGGCTAAATGCTAGAAAGGAATTCTACACAGACATGAAATGTCTCGTTAAAAATAAATCAAACAATATCTATTCAGAGGCACTTTTTACAATCTTTAAGTCCCTAGAAATGCAATATGTATCTATTTTGTATAATAGCAAGGAGAATACTTTGATCAGTTTATAAATGAAAATCAACTATACCTTAAATCAGACAAAATAAATGCCAATTTTCACTGTTAGTATTGAAGTATGTAATACCAAGTCAATGTTAAAGAGAAATATTTCGTATTTGGGATTTAAGCAATGTATCTGTAGAAATTCTTAGCGTGTTATTTAAAAATTACACACTTTCCACACTATAAATGTGTAAGAACAAGTACCAAATCCTGGGATCTTTAAATAAAATCAGTTAAAAGTTATCAAGAGTTGAGACCACCAAGATTACATAAGTAAGGGTTTTTTCTTTCTGAATTCCAAGGATATGAGAAACAAGACATTTGTCCTTACAACTAATAGGTCATTTTTAAGGTGGGCAGACTTGTGTTATAAGTATATGAGTCAGACAAACAATTTATTCATACATCAGCTTGTTCAACAGGTCTAATGCTTGAATCACTATTTGTCAAAAAGCTCAGTTTCTACGAAGTTTCAATTATGGATAGGTCTCATTTAAATTTTTCATCAGCTGCATTTACGGTTTCCAAATTATTCAGCCCTACAAGCATTTTAAGTTCCACAGCAAAACTGGAACAGAGACCTAAGAACCCCCCTATTCCTATGCTGGTTAGAACATCTGAGTTTTTGGGCTGCCCCATTTCACTGAAGTATAGCATTACTGAGTCAACTTCTGGAAAAAGCTCTTTATTAAGCCAGTCATTCTCAAGTATAGCAAGAAAGCATGGTTCAACTTGATACAGTAAGGAAGCTATGCAGAACCATTCTAGTACATAGCACTGTGGGCTCTCCCGTGCTTGGGAGTAAGCCTAAGCACCAACACTTAACATTTAGGTGTTTCCCTGGGTTTTGGGAATGGGACAAGAAGGGAGCACACCGGTGCAGCAATGGCACAATAGTTGCTGGGGGGGAGGGGGCACTCCCAAATTGTCTCCAGTGGGAATTACCCACTCCAACACCGAAGTTCATCTGGGTAAAGTACAGAAGTGAATGACTGGTGAAAAAGAAAAGCATTTCAATACAGGATGCTGATTAATACCCCCACCATCACTACCTATTCTTATACAGTACTATTCATCAATAGAGCTCAGAAAGGTGGCCAATCATTTACAGATGGTGGAACTGAGGCAGAAAGTGACTTGCCCAAGGTTACCCACCAGGCCAAACACAGAGCTGGGAAAAGAAACCAGGTATCTTGAATCCCAGTTCAGTGCTCTGTCTTCTAGAGCACACTGCCAGAGTCAATGGAACGGCAGAGATTAACATGGATTACAGTGTGAGCATAACAAGAGAAGAGCTGATAAATTGAAATGAAGCAACAATTGCTTTTATTAAAGTCTATTAATCATTCAGGTACGCTGCAACCAGATGTGATACGCTGTTGTGTATGTCATACCCAATTACAGTGACTGAATTTACTCCTTTTCTTAAAGCAAGGATATGTTAAAACTTTGCATTTTTAGATGTGCTATTTTATATAAATTCTGGATAATAGCATCATGCAACTTTAAAGGGAAAAAGTCAAAACTTCTGAAGAATAATAATTTTAGGCAAATAAGTATATATACACCCTCTCCACAAAATTCAAAGCTTGTGGAGAATTATAAAACACAGCCATCTTGTTTTTCCTTCAGTTTTTTCTATATAAATCTGTTCCTGATGACATGCAACATAAAGAAACCAAAGGTTTACTGAAGTCAACAGGTGTGAATATTCATGTGCTAATTGGAATGTAGGATTGCCTCATGACAATTTTAGGACAACTGCTCCTGTTGGCCCAGTAATAGGTCTGAAATCCCTAGACCCTTCTGAATGCTTGCAATAAATACCTTATCTGCAGATAGGAAAGCAGGCAAACTGATATTAATCCACTCTGAAGTGTTGTGTGGGGAGGGTGCTGAAGCCATCATCCTTGAAAAGCTGGTCACATGTCAGAAGTCTAAGACCACCTCCGTGACTTCTACTACTGTCTTACAGAAGACGGAAATGAGCAATTATAGAACTGTTGTGGGCACTGCTGATTTCTCACCAAATTCAGAAATTCTGAGTTGTGAATTCCCCATGATGCTCACAAATAGAACCAGTTACGATATCGATATTAGTCTCTAGCCATTTTTCTAGTCAAAATAGAGGAACCTAGAAAAAAAAAGTATGCTTCCTAGCTTTAAGACCTTAACATTCTTTGGACATAAGACAGAATGCCAATAGTAACCACATTGCAATCCTGTCTGCTAAACACATCAATGCAGATAGATGCAGCATAGCATAATATAACCTACAGGCACTTTCTCTTAAAACTTGAGCACAGAATAGGAGTCTGAGGCAGCCTGTGCAGTAGATGGGTCTGTAGTGCCTCCTGCTCACTGGCTCAGTCGTAGAGCATGGAACAGAGAGCACCCACAATCACAGCTGCATGCTTGGGTTTATTTTCAAAGGCCAGGCACCAGAAGGTCTTAGGAAATAGCTGTGAGCTGGAAAAACCCAACTCCACTGCCAATAATGGTTCCAAGTAGTGTAGTTCGGATTCCCCAAGCAAACCTTGAAGGACCTTATCTAGGAAGTTGGGGCAACCAGAATGTGTCTTCCTCCCCGTAACCTCCCAAATCCCATGGGCAAGCCCTGCACCATCTGAGAGGGCTGGAAGCTACAGATCCCCCTGTGTATTTATAGAAGATCTGATTCAACCCGCCCTCCTGCCCTTCCTCTCCAGGACCCTCCTCCTCCCACCATCGCCCCCTGTATGACACTCCATATGTTATCCTCCAGTTCTCCATTACCCGTCACAAAGCAACTCCCATATGAAGAACTCTGTATAGCATTATCGCCTTCTCCCCCCAACCAGCCTCCATTCTCCCCACCCTTTCCACAAACCATCCTACACCCTTTCTCCCAACCATGTCTTCCCCCCCCCCCATCAAACCAGCTCCCTTCTCCCCCCAACCAGGGGTGCTGGAACAATTTGTATGGTGGGGGTTCTTAGAACCATTGAACCAAATTGTAAAACCTGTATATAATGGAAACCACTTCAATCCAGGGGGTGCTGCAGCACCCCCAGCCCCCCTTCTCCCCACGCCCTCGCCCTCCCCCCCGGCCCCCCTTCTGCCCTCGCCCTCCCCCCCGGCCCCCCTTCTCCCCACGCCCTCGCAAACCGCCCCCGGCCTCCCCATCCGGCCCCCCTTCTCCCCACACCAGCCCCTTCCCGCTCACCCACCGAGGGAGAGGAACGAGGGGGGCAAAGGCCCGTTCCCCATCGCGCTCCTCCGGCGGCTCGGTTGGTCGATCACTCCCAGCCCGGCGGCGGCCCCTCCTACCAGGCCCCGCCGAGGTACCGCTCACTTCCGCGTTTGCGGGGAAGGGACAGGGCAACGCCGGGCAAAGCCTGAGGAGCTCCGAGCCGCTAGTGCGCCTGCGTGCGAGAGCTGAGCATGCGCGCTGCTAGCTGGCAGCGGGAGGCGGTGCCTGGGCGCGCGCCACGGGTAGAAATCCGGGGGGGGTGCGCGAACGCGCGTGTCCGTTTGGGTCGGGCTGCGTCATCTCGTCTGCAGAGCTGTCTGCTTTCCCCGTGAAATGTTCCTGTTCCGGCTCCTGCTCTCATCCCGGTAGCAGGTTCTCTGCGGCAGCGGTGGGTTCAAGGCGGTAGCCCTGGGGGGTCGCGAGCTGTCAGCCGCCACCCCAAACTCCGCTTTGCCCCCCGCATTTACAATGGTGTTAACTGTATTAAAAAGTGTGTTTAATGTCTAACGGGGGTCGCACGCAGAGGCTTGCTGTGTGAAAGGGGTCACCAGTACAAAAGTCTGAGAACCCTGGCGGTATCAGATGTTAGTAGCCAGGTGCCTGGGAAGCCTGGGCTCAGTTGCAGGGACATGCGTAGGGCATATGGGCCAACCAAGAAAAATTCCATGTTAGCCACGCAGCCTCTTTGCTGCTGCACAGGCAGGGGGAGTAGATTGTGATGCGACTAGGTAGCTACAAAGCAAAGCCAATGTCACTAAACTGTTGTTATTGCATTGCAAATTTCTGATCCTTGCTGTTGTCATCAGTTTCCTACACACCTAGGGTGACCAGACAGCAAGTGTGAAAAATCGGGAATAGGCGGCTATATAAGACAAAGCCCCACATATTGGGACTGTTCCTATAAAATTGAGACATCTGGTCACCCTATCCCTAAAATGATGTGAAAAACAGCCCACCCATCCCGCTAGACAGGGAAGGCAATATCTGGGGTAGCCAGAGGCACTGGACTGGGAGTAGTGGGTGGCAGGGGGCAGCAGGTTCTGCGTTTTCATGGTGCTCAATTTGTGCCAGGGCAGAGCCCCAGCACCTCTAGGCTTGGCAGTTCATAGTCTGGCACCTCTGGGCTTGCTGCATCAGTTATGAATGTAAAAAAATTGCTTGAGCCCCAACACCTCTTTCATTGCAAATTAAGCAGTGGGTTTGCTCTGTGCCCAGCTGCACTTAGTGTGCCAGGTGGCAGCTCAGCACCAAGAAGCAGGTCCATGCTGCTCCCTCTGCATTTGGTCAGGCAGCATGAAAAAGGAGGTAGAACTGATACCTTTCCTTCCCTCAGGCACATTCCCAGCCACTCTGATCTCACCTGTAGACTAGCATCACCCCATTGAGACCACGGTATGTGGGTATGTGTGGAGTGAAGTGTCTCGTCCTCATTTCCATCCTTTTAAGTCTCTGCTACATAGGAGAGGTTCCGGTTGCAGGAAAGGGTGGCCAAAATCAGGAGCCTTAAAAGATCAGCAGTGTTGTCAACTCTCAGGATTTTAACACGAATCTCATGATAATTAGGGTTTTTTCCTTAAAGTCCCAGATCCTGGAGTCAAGTTAATACAGGAGAATCTGAGCTTTAATTTAAAAAAAAGGTAAACCCCTCGTACTTGTGATGGCAGATAACCCTTGACAATATTACCCCTACTCCCAAAGACTCAGAAACAAGAAAGAAAGAAACAATTATTATTTTAGCTCATGATTTTTAAGCCTAGCTCATGATTTGGCAGGGTGATGGTGGTTTGCTGACTCATAATTTTGAACATTTAGGGTAGGAACCACTAGATCTGGCCTGCTACAGAAAGACAACCCTGACTGGCAGGGTATAAGCCAGTGGGTGGTTTCTGGTGCCCCAGCGAGGCCATGAGCGGGCTGGCAGAAGGGTCCCAGTGAATGTATTGTCCTGTGCTTACGGCCCACATTGGCTCCCGAGCTACTGGCCCTGGTCCCGTGGGGGCAAATGTACAAGGTCCCTGCAAGGATTTGGGGTGGGGCGGCAGGGGCTGGAAAAAGCTGCGTCCGCCTTTCCCCTCCAAGCCGGCAGGGGGAGCGACCAGGAAGTGGGCGTTCTAGCTACGCCCGGATAAACTCGATGATGAGGCTGGAGAAGTAGATCACGCGCAGCGCTTGCGCGGGAAGTTTGACGGCGATGGCGGCGGCGGGAAGCCCGGCGGGGTGAGTGGAGTGGGGGGGGGGCGCTATCCCCGTTATTGCCCCTTCTCCCCGGGGCAGGGCCCGAGCGGGCCCGTTCGCCTCGCCTCAGCGCGCGCTGACCTGGTGCCGGTGTTTGTGCAGGGCGCCCCCGGGGGCGGAGGGAGCTGCTGGACCGGACGGGAGCGCGGGCGCTGCGGAGCCGAGGCCGAAAGGTAGGGGCTGGGGGCGGGCCGGGGCGCGGGGGCGGGGCCGGGTGGGCCCGTAGGTAGGTAGGTAGAAATCCGCTGATTTCTCCTTCCCCAGAGACTCCTGCGTCGGATCCACGCCGCTGCCCGCCCCCTCACGAGCTCTGCCCGCCGCCGTTGTACCCAGGGAAATTTGGCCGCCCCCGAGTTCATCCACCCCTCCCCCCACCGTGTACAGCCCCTCCCTGCCTCCTCCCCCTGTTAAATAAGGGGTCAGTCATCCCCATGAGCCGGAAACATCACTAGTAAAATATTCATTTGTTATAATGCATGTCGTTGTGTGTTGCATTTGCGAAATGCTTCGTCGCCACAGTGCTGAGACTAGCGTAATTTAGATGGAGATAAATAGTTTTCTTGCTGGTCAATTTTCATTTCTTTCCTTCCTGTCAGGGGGAAGAGTTGTGAAGGCTCGCTACCTTCAATATGATAGAAAAGCTCTGGGGAAGGTGAAGTATGGTTTCAAATGACCTGCTTTAAAAAGAAATGCTGGCCTCTAACATAATAAAATGAAAGCTGATTGAAGAACGCAGTTTTAAAAATTGAAAATATATATCTGCTTCAACTGAAAAACAAATATTTTAAAGAGACTAGAACATGGCATAGAAATATGCCTGGCAGCCTCTGATGCTGTAGGAGCTGCCTAGTACTATTGGTTAGACAATATGGGTTTCTGTAATCCCAGTCAGTAAGAGTTTTTCTCTCTTCTCTCCCCACCCGTTCTTATGAGCTCTTACCAAGTCCCAGAGAGAGAAATCAGGATAAAGAATTAAAGCCAAGCCCAGGCCTCTTATGTGATGTTGCAAAGCATTGTGATGCTCCAAGGCAGTGTTTTTTTTTGTTTTTTTTTTAATTATCTGTCTATCAGTGAAATCCTGTAATGAAGTAGGAGTCAAGACAAGGCATTACACCTCTTAATCATTATTAATCTTGAATATTTTCTGTTTTCTGGTTGGCAGAGTACCTCAACAAATTCATCTGTAGTTTCTGGTGTGAAAAGATCTGAAAAGGGGGAAACCCCAACTGGAAGAGCAGGTATTTTTCAGAAATGCAAAGCCACCACAGGTAAGTGGGTTTTTTGTGTGTGTTTAGCAAAACAGTCAGAACAATTCTTTATGGACGTCTCTCAACCTGTGCTGCCGTAGTATCACTGAGGGAGCAGGGACTATTGTGAAATTCTCTAAAGCAGTGGTCACCAGCCAGTAGATCGCGATCAACTGGTCAATCCTAGAGGGTCTTCTAGTCGATCGTGATCTGCAGCGAGGCTGCTGATAAGGCAGGCTTCCTGACTGCCCAGCAGCATGCCACTCCCAGAAGTGGCCAGTGTGGCCTGGCAGGGGTCTCCCTCTGTGGCTGCCCCTGCCTGCAAGCCCCGCCCCTGCAGCTTCCATTGGCCACAGCTCCTCACTCCTGGCCAGTGGGAGCTGCAGGGGCGGGGCTTGCAGAGAGGGGCAGTGTGGAGTCATGTGCCCTCCCAGGGGGTGTGTTGGGCCCTTCCAGGGGTGGTGTGGGGCTGGGATAGGCAGAGAGCCTGATGTAGCGGTAGTCAGACCAGGAGCTGCTGGAGGTAAGTGCTGCCTGGTAGAAGCCCCCTCCTGAGCCCCTGCCCTAGCTCTGACCCCTCTCCTGGAGCCAAACCCCCTCCCAGAGTTTGCACCCCTGCCCCAGGCTCAGCCCTGACCCCCCCACACACACTGTGAACCCCTTGGTCCCAGCCAAGAGCCTGCACCATCTCATGAACCCAAACCACCTATCCTGTCCGGTGAAAGTGAATGAGGGTTGGGGAGAGGGAGCTAGGGTAGGGTTGGAATGGGTGGGGCTTTGGGGAAGGGGTGGGGCCTCAGAAGAGGTGGGATAGATCTTGGTCATCCTTAAATTTAAAAAGTGATCTTGGGCATAAAATGGTTGGAGACCACTGATCTAAAGATCATAGACTAGGTAGTCTAGAGGCCTACAAAAGCTCCCCCCCCCCCCCCCCCCCATCTGACGTTATAGCAGCATTGTGACTCCTGTCATTGATACTTATTACATTAAAAGATATAGTACTATGTGTAGATTAGCTCTACATTCTCTGTCTGGAAATGAAACACCACATTAATTCTCTAGAATAAGCAGATATCTGTCATTCTGTAGATGGATTGGGCTGCTACTTTAATACCCAAAAATACTTCTCTAATTTTTAATAGATCTAGAGGAATGAACAATAAAACCCCCACAATATATAAATCACTAGTAATGTTGCAAATCTACATGTTTATACAATGATCCTGTATGTGACTCTCAGTGTCTGAGCACTTGTCCAGGTGATCATCCAGTTTAGTCTGGTAATGTGGGAAAGGAATATTTTAAAATGATTTTAATTTAGCATTACTTCTGTACTTTAATCACCTATGCTTTACCTTTTCCTTCATTTGGGTTCTGCTCATGGTGGCAAGCTATGAAATGGCTAAGATAGCAGCATTCTGAACAAGTTAAACCCCAACTAAAAGGAACTTTGCAGCAAGTTACACCTGCTATGTTTGTTGACTTTTGGAAGACGATAAAGGTGGAAATATCCAGATGAGACTTTTCTGGGTTTTTTTAATGAGCTATTGTGCAAACACTTGTGAACTTGCAAAGCTAGGTGTTCTGGGCTGCTCACTTATGTTCTACCACACTAAAATAACACGTTTCTACAGGCACTGCTCCTAGCACGCTAA